GAGATCTACAGAAGGAGAGAAGCACAGATGGAGGAGGTGAATAGAAAACAACTCTCCCCTGCCTATCCTGTAAGAGCACTAAGGAGCAGGCAATGAAACAGGCAAGCAGCAATTTAAAAAAAAAAAAACAGGCTGATGACCTGTAGAACTTAAATGGTTAAAATGTTTCCAAAAGTTTTAAAAGTGAATAGACAAATTCATGAAAGAAAGGTCCAGCACAGGCTGCCAGGACAAATATACCACCCTGCTGCTCAGCAAGGGCCCAAACCATACACTGTTGGAAGTGTCTCCTTCTCTAGGACTCTTCTGTTTCTGTACTCTTCTAACAGGACTCAGTTCTGGTCCTCTGGGTAGAAGAACCTCTGGTCTTATCTGCTATGGCTGCTGTTACATTCTTATGCACAAGCCTTGCCTCTCCTCTTGGGGTGTTCCAGTAAGTGCTGCCTTTGCCCAGCATGTTTTCCACCCAAGGAAACGGAAGGAGTACCCCGAGACTCCCAACAGTTGTGCTTTTGAATTGTAGCAGCAGCATAAAATTGCTTCAGATCCATTAAGCTACAGTTCTTCAGTTCTGTATCACAAACATTTAACAGTAGCCAGGCTTTAGCAAATACCTCTGTTTTTTAGTCCTCTTTGGTTTTATGCAGTATTTTAATACAGGAATTATAGCTGAATAAAATGATGTTACATTACCAGACAATATAACTTCAAAATAAAGGTTCTTACCCCTGGGATGACCACGGTCCCAACTCCGTTCTTCAGCTTTGATCTCCCTCTGCCACCTCTCCCTGACAGACCCGCACCACGCGGCCGCCGCTTCCCCGGGAATCCCGATCCACGGCCCTGCTCAACACGAGAGCACAGCTTCAGCACAACCTCACCTCCTCCTCTTGCACGGGATTCAAACTTGTTCAATACATCCAGGGAAAAATGTAAGTAAAACACACCCTATGCTTTCAAAGGAACATGGATGGGCACACAAGGCCACAGGCATTAAGTCACTGCATAAAACATTCTGAAACACCTTTAACTACTTACTTGACATAACACGATCACCTTTATCACTGAGAAAGCACCCAAAACCAGAAATATTTATTTTCTTCTTAAGAATAAATGGAAATGTGGTTTTGTTTTGGTTTTTTTTAAAATTTTTTTTTCTTCCCCTCACAGCTGCAAAGTATCCAAAATAAATACCCTTTATTTTATGATTCATTTTTCTTTTCTTTTCCAACAGTCAGCTCAGACAGTTATGGGACTTCTGAATAGGTCTGGCCACTTGATTACTTGCAATCACAGAGGCTTTTCTTACGCTATGAATAATCAAGCAGAAACTGGAATTTATTAGAACTCAATCCTGCTCCCAAAATGAAGCAGAAGCTGGCTCCATGAAACTCTCTCAATTCAGCAGATACAGAGAGAACTTTTTATATTAATTATATCAATTACATTCAGATCAACACGCCCTGTAACATGATGTTTTTCTTTAAAAATATCCACTTATTTTTAGGCAGCTTTTTTCTCCTCCTTATTTTAGATGCAGATGCACAGTTGCAGTGTTGTGTGCTCTGGAGCATTCACAGTATGTTCAACTACAATTAACCATGGTAAAGTTAACCATGGCAAGTAAGTTTTTAATAATAATTCCCTGACATTAACACTGTGACTTTGAAGTTGTTTGGTTTTTTCCTTCCCCCCTAGATTGTTATTTCAAAATGAACTAAACACAAAGAGGATTCCTTAATCTTCTCTAATCACTTCCATAGAGAAGAAGAGCATATTCACAATGTCCCAAGTTCTGGCTGGTGTATCAGACATCTTTACAAGCTTCAGAGCCTCTGATCTGTATAACTGATGGTAATTATGGTATATACTCAAAACAAGCACCTTTACTACTATGAAATAATCAATGAGATTATTTATTGCATTTCAAAATTGTGAATAATCTTGGCTCCTAACGCAGCCCGACTCCATCCACAGAGTGCCTAAATATGGTGCCTGTATCCAAATGTTTGCTGGAAAACTGCTTTTAATACCAAGGCAAAACATTTGCTCAATAAAACAACATTAATGGAACCACAAAGCTCCTTGGGGACAGTGTTGCCAACAGACATGAACAGTCTGTACTTCAGCACTATGGGCTCAGTATTACCAACATACTTTTCAGATATGCCAACTCCTGTTTTAAAGAAGATATAAAAGTCTATAATGATAGTTAAAGGGAGAACCCAAGTATCCAAATGTTAACATTTCATTAACATCCATCTATTAACAGTCAGAGAAATTGAACTGACTTACTCTTACACAATGAAGTAATGTAACACAACAGTGTTTTAGCAAGTGAAAGGAAGGATGCTACTGATAGTACACTAAGGTGGAAGAAAAAAAAATGTTTTCCTTACATCTATATAGTGTTAACAAAAACACACACACAGGACATACAAGCTTCAATTTTTAACATGTAAACTCTTCTGGCATGTTTCTTATTTTGCCTCTTTCAGACCAGGTATCAGTACTGTTATTTTCACACAACTAGTAACAGGAATAAGCACGTACTTGCATCAATGTTAATGCTGAATATTAAGCTGAAAATTAATGCTTGAAGCAGCAAAAGCTAAGCTAATGTCAAATTAAAATACAATTAGCATGAGAGTTAAAGTGAGATGAAAATAAATCATTGGGAAGCTACAGTTATTTGTCAGTTTCATTTACCTTTTTTGTATTTATTTAAAATAGTGATTCCACTTAGTTCTTTGTGGTTTCAGTGGTAAATGTCACCGTGGATACAAGTTTTGGTCCATCTAATCAGGTATGAAAGTTATAATTTATTCCCCCATAAGCTTAAACCAATGTCACTTTGAATCCACTCTGCAAGATTTCTCCACAGCAATAAACTCAAGCCACTCTTCAGATCTCTGCTCCTTTCCATGCCTGGCTTACCTTACTGCCAGTCTCAAGGATATTTTCCTTCTCAGGTAATTTATTTTGACAGCTACGTAAAGCTAACCACAAAAAGTGAAGTACTCAACACACACGAAAAATTGGTAAAACAAGCTATTCTTTGCCATTGAAAATCAGGGCAATGCCATCATACTGTACACTCTGGAAAGCATACATTCTTTTAACCTGAAAGTTCCAGAGTTTCAATAATTAAAGGCCTTAAACAGCAACAGAAGATTAATTCAGTTGTGAGATACAGAATTTCATCACTAGTCTCTACAGCAGAAAGATAGCAATGGATACATGAAAATAAATTCAAATTATTTACCACTTTGATGCTCCAAATGGCACTGCCAGGAAGCTGTCTGGATTTAAAAATGTCCCGACCTTCTGAAATGTCTGGGGACCAGGAAGGTGGGCTGACTGTATTATTGGTACTCCAAGCCCCCTAGGATACGGCAGGTGAGAAAATAGATGTATAAAACTTCGCAACATAAAAAAAAAAGGAAATAAAAAAAAGAAAAAAGCAAGCAACAAAAAAATCTGAGAAGCAAAGCACATGCAGGCATAGGCATTTCTATGTTAACTTAAGTAGTCTCAATTAGTTCACTGAGTGAGAGGAAGGTGGGGAATTTTTAGGTTCTCACTGAAACATACACTAAAACAAATATTAATCTCCAGCTGATGGTTAAGTACAACAAAATGAGTAGCATAAACAAAGCATAATACAAATTGAAAGCAAGCAATCATAACAACAACAAATTATATCCCCTAAATTTTTTTGAGCCAAATGAAGAAGAGAGTAGTTTGAGATGATAACATCCCCTCTTACACTGCAAATCACATTTTGAAAGAACAGATGGCCTTAGTCGACTTTGGAGTCTAAACTACTGACAATCACAGCAACAACGAGTTTGAGAAGTGTGTGAAACAAAGGAATATAAATAAACCATTGGAAAAAAGAAAGGAGAAACAGCCACGGTAATTAAATTATTTCTTGCCTGCAAGTTTGCCACTAATAAACCATTATAAAACCACAATGTTATTTTTTTTTCACCCCAGTGTTTTCATGTTACACTGCAGTATCAAATTTTAATGTCATTAGATATAGTAATAATAATCATCCATATGGTGTACCTACAAACTCTTTTTGACTATTATCCCTATTTATACAGTTCCCATCACAGTAAGATACTGTAGAACCCTGTCACAAGAAATAAAGCAAAACAAGCAGAAACTGCCAAGATGGACAAGAAAAAACACTGCAGAAGTTCCTCACATACATTAAAGTCTGTGGAAGAAGACCTTCACAAATCCAAAGTAAAAAATGCAGGAAACAGCAATGATAAATAACCTCATTCTCCATATACACATTAGAGTAGCTAAAGGACAATGCATTTGCCCAAGTTCGTGAGAGTGAGAATGAATACCAAGGTAAGAAGTAAATCCAATTAAAAGTATAGGTCTAAGGGTGGCACTGAGCAGAAGACTCAGACGGATAATATGGAACAACCCTCTGCATACTAATAATAGTCCCAACTATTCGCACGTGCAACACCACTCACATGGGCAAGCCCAGACACATTTAGGCCTTTGAATACAGGTCTATACAATAATAAGCATTAAGAAAAATGAGATAGCTTTGCAAAATACGATTTTTTTCTGAAATATTCTCCATCAAGAACATGTGGGAAACGGTTTCTTTGGAATCAACAGCACATCAAAACATATATTCATCCCAGACTGTAAATAGGTATTTTGCTAACAGCTGCACTGACTGAAAATAGGGCTACCCCTCAGCTGGTTTCAGGCCAGAAGGGTCATGGCCAAGATCTCACTGATCCATGTAAGTCACAGCCAGGTTAACTCAATCTGCTGATGAAGATGAGTATGAGCCAACATCTCGTTTATCCCCAAGCATATAAGGAAGATCTCATATGATGCCTTCTGCTTTCAGAGCTGGGCACACAGCAACCTATAGCTGCTCAGAGAGCTCAGTATTCAAACTGGCACAAAAGATCCAGAAGGAAAAGTGTCAGCACCCTAAAAGCCAAGTTACACATAAAAGTTGCATTTTAAAAATGCCAGCATTGTCCAAGTGGTCCAACTCACAGTGTGGACATGGTGGTACTCTGCATAAAGCTGCTTTCTAGGTGTTTAGGTATGCCTGCTAGGGAAAGGGAATAGGGATAATCTAGCACTTATAAAAATAAAGACTTTACACATTTGCCCACACAAGAGGTTCATCAGACACACAACCTACAAACTCCTTAGTGCCCCGAAGACTACCTGTGTGTTTTCAATTGCTCATCACTGCCTTCCCTCTGCCAAGCTGCTTCCAAAACATACTCCAGCTGAACTGCTACCGCCAGCAACTGCTCACCTACACTTGGGTTAAAGTGACTATGCTCAAAGAGCTTAAATTGTAAAGATTTTGCTATCCCAGTTTTTTGCTTGACTCCACTTAGATGGTCATCACACAGACAACTTAGCAGATCAAAAGGATCAAAAACCTCTAATTCAGCAGAAAGCCTTTGCACCTGCAAACCTAGAGATGGCTCTGCTCACATCTAGGATGTAAGGGCATAATATTCTTGGCATTACATGGGCATAACCACACCAAGCCAGAAGTGTGGGGAAAGCAAGGGAGCAACCATCCACAAAACCAGAGGTTTGACAGATCTACCCAAACACACTGCTGAAACACCCGTCACTCTTCACCCGTGCTGAACCACCCTGGGCTCCCTGCACGGTCAGCAAAGAGAAAAGAGTGCTTGCTCAGGGCAGCTCACCACAGGGGATGGAAGATGTCAGATTAGTGTCACCCTACATGACCCTAGTTCTCTCCAGCAACTCTACGGCAAACCTCGAGGTGACTGCAGCAGATCTTTAACACTGCAGAGAGCCACTCCTTGAGCCCACAGCAACTCCCACCAGGCACAAACAGCAAGCCTGACATCTGGGTTTCTTCTACCAAGAGCACTGTAGCTTATGAATAACCCCTCTGTCAAAATCTCATGTTTTCATTAAGCACTGTAACACTTGTTAGCAACTACATCAGCAGGTCTGTGCCAATAGGAAGTTTATCTCCACTATGCTAGCCACATTTTCAACATCAAAGAAAGTCCCACTTTAGCAAGATAAAGTTACAACTTCCACTGAATTTTAGTTATCATTTCCCTATATTTCTAGAATTCACAATGCGTACTAAGTAACGGTTCTTCTACTACGGCAACTCTAAGAAAATCTGTATAGCAACAAAAAAATCTGTGTATCATAGAAACCATCTTTACATCAATCTGTAAGGGAGGCAGCACACTGGCCAAGTGTCAAAATTCAAGATCTTAAAAGTGCTGAAAAAACTTAACAATTAAAACTACCTACTCTTATTTGGGACACACAAAATTATTTTCTTTTTACGATGATACACTTCTCTAGTGATTAAATATATTCAAAAGATTAAAAAGCTAATAGAATATTAATTCTGAATATGAAATATTTGGTCTTGCAAAACAAAACGAATTGTATATGATTCATGAACCATATTGTTAATAATTAAATTGGAAATTTAGTCCAAGTTTTATTGTAGATCAGAAACATTTGAATTCCTGGTCAGATAAAACTTAATTAAAAGCATACACTTCCACAATGCTACGAACAAATGAATTACATCAAAGAGACGCATTAATTATATTTCGGCTTTTAATTAATGCCTATTACCACAAAACACTGAAGAGAAAGTTCTATTCAGTTCATTTACATCAGAACCACGGCAGTAATTATGGACTGTGACACAAATGGGAAGTTCTAATTCTCCATCATATTCTTGAGACCTAGAAACTGAACAACACAGCTGCAAGTAAACTGTAACAAAAGGAAACCCAGAGTCAGCAAGGGCCAGGAGCTCTCACTAAACTACCCCCGAGTCAGCAAGGGCCAGGAGCTCTCACTGAATTACCACTGACTGTGTTTAGCTGCTTAATGCTTTATGGAATCAACTGCAATCACCAATGCACAAAGCTGGGTTTTCAATTTAACATTTAATGTAATTTTAGGGTTGTGAACAAAATTTAATCTGTTCAAAATATAGCACCCCTCACAGAAAAAAAATGTAAAAACTGTGACAAAAATTAATCCTTGAAAAAGTCTCTTTTTGATCTTTTTTCCCAACATGCCCACTACAACAACATACTTAGTGGTACCATGTAGTTGCAGACAGCCAAAAAGCTGTAATACCCAAGCAGAAACATACTCTGAGCCCTGCATGGTGTTCTGCATTTTTCAGTGTCATTTTAGAAAATCTCCTAAAACATATAGAAATATGTAGTGAGCCATATAACAGTGATCACCAATATCTTCATGATGAAAACTGAATACCTCTAATCATAGTATTTCCATGGAACACATTCTAAAGTAATACTTATGGTTATTATATAGCAGAAGGTTATTATTTTATGTTCAGTATTATTCTACAGACCATTCCAAACTCTTTACCTACCAGTCTTACAATGTCACATGTTGCAATGCCCTCCATTTATTGACTTCATATTGTGCTTTCCAGTACACAGTGCTGTAGCAAAAATAACTATTTTCAATTTGTTCAATTCAAACACATCATGGAATCAATGAAACATTCTTATCATGGAATATACCCAATACCATTTAAGGTATACCTCCACAGAAAAAAAAAAAAAACAAACAATTTTCCTTGTGAAGACTTATTTCAAGCTATAGATATGGGTCATGTTCCTTAATAAACTTATATGATCATTTCTTTATGATTTAAGATTACTTCTTCAGGGGAAAAAAAAATATGAAAAAGATCAGAGAGGTCCTGCCCCCCACATAAACTTGCTGTTAATAGGTAAGGGTTGAGAATCTGCATGTTCCATGGTGAAGGCACTCTACAGACACAACCCTTAGGACAGCAGCGTGAAAATGTCACCGTGCTGGCGGCTACCAGGGAGTATCTCTGTCAACAAACAACTCCATGTCAGATACATGTAAAAACCAATTTGGCCCAAATATCGATTAGGATAACAGGAACAGATTAGAGACAGCCCATTCATGGACCATACCCTTTGGGAAGTCAGCGAGATGCTAAGCCTGGCAGAGAGAGGGTCCTCTCACTGGGCTGGATGAAGATTTAAAGCTCACCTGTAGCTGCAGGTATGGATAGCACGCTATCCTAACACAGACTGGTAGTAGCAGTGCACCTTACTGATAGGAGTTCTTAGCCTGACACAGAAAAAAAACACTTTCTCTGGAATGAACTAAGCCTGTACCAGCCAAAGTGACTCTTACCAGTGTAACTGTACTGACATATTGATTTATACATAGCACCCCTTTTGTTGAGAAGATGGATTTTCTCCTGCTGCTTCTAAGCAAAGTAGTGATGCCTGCAAGAATAGTCAGGGGAGAGGGGTGGTGATGAAAGCAACACGAACAGAGCAGCCCTGAAAGGGACTCACAGAGCCTTTTTAAGCTGAATATTGTCTTCATGGCTGGTGAGATGGGTTTTAGTCCTTTCAAAACAGGAATGATGTAGTGGTGTTGCAGACACATGGTTAGAGATATTACAAATGCAAACTCCTAGATCCAATACAAGGAATCACTTTGGATTATGAGGAACTTTGTATTCAGTAGTGAAACTGAATAATTATTCACACATATTGTGTTAGCCATTGTATTAGTAGATTCTGAAGAATGAGATAATCACTCACCCTACTGCCCAGAACAATACACTAAATTTAATGAAAACAAATCCAAATCCTGAACTATTCCTTCACATGGATTTCCCTGACTGAAGCATGCGAGTTATAAAATTGAGCAGCCATATATTCAGGATCCAGAGATTTTATTTTCCTATTGTTCTTTCTATGAAGTTCCATAAACCCATTAGAATGGATTTTTATTTTTATTTTTTTTTCCTTTTTTTTTTTTTTTTTAAAGACAACCAGAACATTCCCACAAGATACACTACACATTAAAAGATCTAAACCTTCTAGGAGAAATTGAATAATATTGCCTTCAGCTGATGTTGGCTAATGCTGGCTTCTCTCTGGAGTCCATAGGGTACTCACTTTTTATGAAGTATCTATTTTAAACCTGTGCAGACCAGGACAAGCAACTAGTTCTGCAATGACAGCTCTTTGTGCAACAGAAGAAAGCAGCTGTGGAGCCAATGCTACCTTCACCAAATATAGGACCCACAATTTCTTTAATCAATAAAAATAACCCAGTCCTCTCATTTCACTGCCCTGTAAGGCATGTTTGTTAAGATCTCACCCAGGTGTATGGTAACATTTGGATCCCACAACGTGGGACCTGAAACAATACAGGACAGCAGCATTATGTGGTTTTTGTTTTGGTTCTTTTTTGTTTTTTTCCCCTAAACAGAACATAGCAGACCTCAGGCCCATAAAATTAACCTGCTTTTGAGAAGGCAAAATCCCTCTTTAGTGACACCTCAGAGACAAACAGCACATGACTTCGTTTATTCCAAAGTTGTTTCTGTAACTTCACAGAAGCATTTCTTCCTCCAAAACTGTTTTCCCCACATTTTACTTGTTTTGGTTCAATGGGATCGCCCTTGGACAGAAGAGCAGTGAAACACTGCGTTAGGATAAAATGTTTTACATGAAGTAAATGTAATGTCCCTTCTTCAGCAGTGAGGGCACATTTGGCATGGAGAAGAAGATGGAATGGCAGAAAGCAGCACTCTTCTCAGCTGCCAGCACCTGCAAAGGATGATGCTCATCCTGACCCAGAATTGGGAGAAAACACCCATTTTGAATTGTCTCTAGAGTATGACACAACCAACAGGTCTCAATTCTTTGGTTCTATACCTGGTGAAAGAAAACCTGCTTCTGGTTAAGGCTGCTGGTACAAGTAGCAGAAAAATGTAGCTTTTTTTTCTCCTGAGAACTAGAACAAACATTTACAAAAAACTCACTATGTGTAAAGCGCACTTTGTAAGATGACATAAATTGAGCAGAATTAGATAAAAACTCAAGTGTTTCTTTGACAATCAAATAAATTTAGAGGCTTCTTCTCTTATCCACAGCTCTTGAACTGGAAAAAAATTCTTTACAAAACCTTAAAGCTTACAGAAAAGATAATAGTTAAAAAAAAAAAAAATCAAACCTAAACCAATTTCTGTGTGCAATTCAAAGGCTAAAACATTTCAACACATGCCTCACCTATTGTGGATTTGTCCAATTACATCTTGTTCACAAGGAAAGTACCTGCCTGTAACTGGACATTTCTAAATCTCTTATTTATACTCTACAGTCATTTGACAGGTTTCAGTCCCTCAGCAAAGGCCCAAGGTAACACAGGAGACTTAGAGCCCTGGAGATAATTTTGTCACTGCTTCTGCAAATACAATATATACCTTACTGCACAGTGACCTAGAAAAACCTAACTACAGCAAAAAAACCCACAGAATTCCTCATCTCAGTGGAAATGTAAGCAAGGTACTACTAATAAAGTTGGTTTTAGAAAACATCTATTATATACAAGATTTTTCTCTTTTCTCAAAACACACATTACCTACAGGCACAAGGATTACATCCTTCATGTCCAACATGGAAAATCAGATGAACTGAAGTAAAAAATTGATTGACAAAGAGGCTGAAAAAGCTCCCCGAGCCCAAATCCCTACCAGCTAGTTAAGCTGAATTTAGATTCCTGGTAGAAGGTGGGGAAAATAGTGTCTGGTTTTCACTAATGAAGTATCCACAGGGTTTTCATTTTTTTTCCATCCTTACTCAAGACATGTTTTCACTGATTTCCACAAGGTGCTGATCTGTGCTAAAACTGAGAGTTCAATGGAAAGCAAGGAAGTGTGCTGGGACTTAAGTAATCATATGCTTTTTTACCAGAAAATTACTACTTGCTTCACAGAAGTTCCAGCTTAAAAGGTGTTTAGAGTGCAAGACAAAGATAATCGAAATGAAAAGAAACCTTCACAGACTTCCAACATACTTTTACAAGATGGATCATGAATTTCACAAGTAACTTGTCCAATTCTACAACTGGTACTGCTAAGATGCTAAATACCTTTTGATTTTAAAATACAGTTTGCAAACTGTTGAACAGATTATACTGATCTGCACCACAGCTCAGATTTTGTGTTACACCTGACATATATTGTAATTCAACTCAGCTTTATTTGCATTACTCGCATCACATATTAACAGGTTAATGTCTACACTCTATTGCACATAGAATATACAAATTGCCACTTTTACAGCTGATTTTTTGGTTTTTAAGATGTGTATCTGTTCTGCTATAGACATTTACAGTTGGGGTCAGCCATCACCTTCTCCTCAGTGGGTTCTCTGGTGGCTAACTCATTTTATCACCAGTATCATGATGCTGGTTCCCATGCAGAGCTGGGACAAATTGCACAAAGAAATAAATACAGCTCTTGGTGGAACACAAAAGAAGACAAACTTCACCAACAGAAAACCAGAATCCATTTTAGGTTGCCTAAGAAGCCCACCTCTCTTCAATTTGTAAGATAAGCTGAGAAAAAAGAATTAATACAGTACAGAGCATTAAGAAAAATTATTTTTATACATGCTTGTACATGATGGTTAAAAAAAAAAACCAACAGAGATACTCTAAAACCTTCCAAATTTAAATACTTATTATTATGTTTGTTGCCCTTATTACATATTTTAGCCCTTTCAGAACACTGTATCTCATATCTTTTCTTAAGAATGGAGAATTTTGAACCCTTAAGTAGCATGCAAAAATGCAAAGAACTGTGCAATATATAAAAAGCTTTTTCAAACACTAAGTTCAGAAGAGCATGAAGTCATCAACCTGCAAGTGCCAAAGACTAAAAATAGTGATGAGAGCAGAACTGAAACACCGATTTGCCACACTGATGTACTTTTTGAGTAGAATTTTGCAAATAGAAATAAATCCTACAGACTGATGAACTATTATCCCCACAACTACATGACTCATACAGAGAGCAAGACGTTGCCGAAGGTGACAGACTTAAGCATTCTTTCCACTTCTCAAACTTAATCCTAGTCAAACCACAACAACTTGTACCAGACAGTTCTTACATGGTATTTGATAATGTAACAAAACCATCGAATTATTTGCAACACCATTAAAAATGCCAATCAAGATAAAATCTGGAAGTGTGATGGAAATGGGAGTCACTGTGGGTTTTTCTATAAATCCAGCTTCATAAGTGTTAACACACTTTGGAAGTACTAGCCCAAATGAACCCATATATGAAAAAGATTAAGAGATAAGTTAGAAGGCACAGCAGTATTTGTACATTCATTTGTAGCATATGTACTAAAAATATTTAAAATTTCCTGTTAGTTTTCTCTAAGCAGGAGCTGAAAGAAACTTTAATTCTTACTGGAGATCTTTTATGATGTCTGATCTCTCAATTACTCAACATTAAATTACTTTTGGAAGAACCACACATTGTTTTAGAAGAATAAACGCATACTACATCCTAAAAAAATCACTGCATTTAATGCATTACCCCAAAATTTGAACCATTTCCTTCATAAATGTATACTGAAATATTCTCCATGCTTACCTGTCTTGATCTGGGTCTTCCAGGAGAAAACTTCCGTTTGGTGATGGCTGGTTTTCCCATGCCAATTTTTGGAGTGACTGATATGTAAGTCGTTGGGAGAGCACTTCCAGCAGCGGAAGGCAGTGGTGGGGGCTGGCTGTGCTGAGCATCTCGTGCAGGCTGCAAGTCTAATGAGACATCTGGTGAGGAAGACACATTTGTCTTGTTTATATTAACTGAGGAGGGAAGTGAGGGGCAAGTCTCAGCTGGTGATTTTATGGGTTTGTCTCCAACTGGTGAACGATTCACAACACCTTCATTTGCAGAAGTAGTTTCTACTTCTGGAAGAGCTGGTGTTTCTGATTTTTCATGGGTTTCTCCTTTTTTGACATTGTTTTGCACGTTTATTATTTCCAGTTGTTGTTCTACAGAGATACAAATATCTCCTTTACTTTCAGTCTCCTGTATTTCTGGCGTCACAGTTAAGGCCTCAGGTACTGAAGACAGAGACCGAGAGTCTACTGTGGACACTTCTGATACCTCCACGCTACCTTGTGGTCGCTGTGTCTCTTCCACTTGTGTGTCTACCTCCTGCTGTATTACAGCTTGAACACCTTCCATCACGTCCATCATTTGCTCAGTCTGACTGTCACCAGATGCTGGTGTCTTTTTAGGAGACATCTCCATTTCAGCTGAATTGATTCCAACAGAGACTTCTGCTTCCAGTTCTGCAGTCTTTTCTTCTGGTGATATGCCTGTAACTAAGTACAGTCATATTAAAGGCTCAGTGTGAAAATGAAAAGCTTGCACAGGTATATTGGGCAGCAGCTATACTTGGTACATATCACGTACAACAAGAACATATCACTTTACTCAAGTGAATTTAATATGTAGCTTAAAATATCATTCATAAATATATTTCTTTGTACCTATGTTTATAGTAGTCTCTGGTTTTAGTTCATTATTTCTCCTCCCTGGAAACACAGCAGAGTAAGTCACAAGAAAGTAGACCCAAGATTAATTTTTAAGGAATCTGAACACAGATTTCCAGGTGGGCAACTCAAAGTAGCTTCTCCTTTTTAATTTCTCTGTGTTGAAGATGTATGCTAGCATAAATTAACGTACTTTAAGCAACTGTCCCAACACTTCCAAAAAGCAGACAGCTAAGAAGAACGGGACAAGCACAAATAAATAACACTTCCATCCTAGCACTCTTGCAGACTTTAGGAAATCATCTGAAATTAAAACAGTTGATGCCATTTTTTTTTTTGTAATTTACTAATGTCTCATGTATTTCTTTTAAAAAATATTTGCACAGCCTTCTGTTTCATCCACCACTTTTCGTCAAGGAGCTCTACAGTCTTGTATCTATTCCATGGAGAAATTCTTTGCTTTGAATTTGTCTTCTTGTATCTTCTTTTGATGAGCCCAGAGTCTCTTACACAGGCCACTTTCTGTTATACTTGTATCTTTCATTCTTAAATTCACACGGCTACAACCTCCCCAGCCACTACAGTTCAAAGCCAAGCGTTTTACTATGAATGTGCCTTCACTGGCAGTTTTAAATCATGGCCCTTATACCACAGGCTGTGATGCATAACACAGTGACCATAGCTAACCCACAAGGGCTTTCTCTTAATTTTTTTGCTTTGCCTTTAGATGCAGGTTTATTGTTTCCCCTTACAGTGACCATCCTCCAACTTTGTCTAGGAATGGATGGGACATACTGGAAAGTTCTTTGCTACTGGTATCGGTCACTAACACATTTAGTGTTGAGATGGTTGAATGTTTTCTTGACCTAGAAACCATCCTAGTTGTATTCTTTCTTTGGCTAGTACTTCACATGTGATTGATAGGATAACGTTTATTCACAGAAAACAAATGATAAGCTATTGTAGCACCTCTGACTGAATGAGGACATTTGTGTATTAAACTATCTTCTTTTTACGAAGGAAAGGAAGAAATGAAAGAATTCTTAAACAAAGATACTTGTGGAGTTACAACTATGAAGCACATCAACTGCAAAGAAGTTGCACAGTGTGCCCCAAAACACATTGAGGAAATTAATCCAATCAGTTATTTGCACCAACAAATAAATAAGACTTGAAGAGAAAGTGTGAGTTTACTGTATCTGAATAGCAACAACTACTGTTTTTTACTGTAAAATTCCAATGTACAAAAGCATTTATGTTTCCAGCTTTTGGAGAAAGCCAATCCCACCAAAAAAGTAAAACAACTTTCTCCTACACAAATTTTCTGAAGATCAGCTTTTACTCCAGCTTTGACTTCTTGAGCAAAAAAGTTAATACACTTGCTCGAGAGCTCACATTGTAGACTGATGTAACTTGTCTCCTACTGTTTTCCTGGCACTTTCTCCTCTTAAATTCATGAAGTAACACAGGGTTCTGTACTGGCATTTCCTCAGACTGCAAAATTCATTCTTACCGTCTGCGACGCATCCGATGGCTGATTCTTGACTAGGGCCATCACCAGTGATGGGCTGCTCCTGAAATGTTACATGCTCTCCACCACTTTCCACTTCCATTTCATTTGTACAAGCTTAAGGAGAAGCAAAGAAGTTATGAAAATTTATATGATGTTTACTCTGTTACTTTTGCATCAGTAGTTGCTGTCACTGTTTGACTTTTTGGCTAAAGAGACCAATATTTAATCCCATGAATGAAGTTAGGACACACCAAGCCAATGAGAAGGTTAGGGTTAGTACTCCTCACGGACTAAGAGCCTTTTTATCATTAACATAAAAGCCACTTGATAACTTGTCAGACAGTGAAAAAAATGTCTGTGAAGCAATTAAATACACCTAATTCTGAAAATTTTATTTATACACTCACAGGCTTCTCTATTACCTGAGAAATACAAAAAACATTTTTCTCAAATTCCAGTCTGCTAAATGCAACAGAACTTATAGCATGAAGGCTTCTAATTTTTATACAAATACTGCAGTGGCTTACAGCACAGATAGGAGGTTCCATCTGCTATCAGCACCTGGAACACTGATTTTCAACCTATCTGTTAAACAACATGAAAACTGAATTTTGCCACTTTAGGACTAGGATACTTCAATCTGTGAGTTCTTCCTCTTAAATAAAGGAATCTGCATGGAAAAGGTGCTACTGAGTGCTTCTTTGTCTGACAGTATCATCATAGAGCACAGAAAGAGGAAACACTTTTCCTCATGTAAAAGTTTTTTCAGTTCAGGAAATTCATTAAAATGCACTAGACAAAGCAGGAACAGGAAAAACAAAGTATACAGTAAGCATTAACTCAAAATGAATTGATCCTCCACAGATGTCAGCACAAAAAAAGTCAAATAAATATAGCTTTCTGTTCAGGAAAGTCTCGCTAAAGTTCAGAACTATTAGGGGATGCTACTTTTAGCACCTAAAAACCACTCTCCAACTCTGTCAACTTTAAAGTGATATTTTAACTTTGAGGAAATGATCATTTAGATTGGCTCCAAATCTGATCTTAATGCACAAAAGTGCTCTCCTGGGTATAAAATACTGCATGACTGTACTGATGTAATAGCTCCAGATTACTCCTAGCAGTTGAGATGACAGTCCTGTTCTTCCTTAGGGAGCTGAGTATGCTTGTCAATACTTTTACTAGCTAGAAATCCTAACAGAAGTATTACTTAAAAATTTAGCCTTTCAAATAAACCTGTTACTTATTCAAAAGGGTTTTCAGCAGAAGATTGGGAGTTTTTCCAGTGTAAGTTTTGGATATTACTTGAGAACATCTTTTGATAGCACAAGAGGAAACGGCCTCAAGTTGTGCCAGGGCAGGTTTAGGTTGAATATTAGGAAAAATTCCTTCACTGAAAGGGCTATCAAGGAACAGGCTGCCCAGGGAAGTGGTTGAACCATGACCCCTGGATCTGTTTAAAAGCTGTACAGAGATGGCATTTAGGGACATGGTTTAGCAGTGGACTTGGTAGAGTCAGGTTAACGGTTGGACCTGATGATATTAAAGGTCTTTTCCAGCCTAAATGATTCCCCAATTCTATCTTCCTGTGTGTTCTGAACACACTGCCTGAGAGTCCAACAGCCTCCACTAATCTTTCAGAACAGAAGTGATCTTCAAAGGTTGAAGTTACTACTTTTTCTCAGTTGGCACACATGCTCACTGAAAAGAGTTCTCCTGCTCTTTTACATATATTTGCCTACTGCCACTGCCCTTCCTCCAGGATCATCTCTTTTTCATGATTTCTTCACTGCTCACAAAAGGTCTGAACTTCAATGTACAAGCTAGCATCACAGAGAATTACTTGTTTACAGAAAACATCAGTTTGAATACACAAAAATTAAAGAGTTCTGTTGTAGTCCAACACTTCAGGCTTTCAAAACCACAGATACTTGCTGCAACTGAGCTATTGCTTTCTCTTAACAATTGATCAGTGCACATGCATTGCTGTTTAAGCATCAAAAATGCACATGGCAGTGCTAGTGCAGTTGATCCGTTCGATTTTACCTTGCTCCCAAATTTAACCACACCTGTTCTTCTCTTGGGAAGCTCAGCCTGCACAAGAGTAGACGAGAGTAGGTGCTATCCAACAGAAGACATGGTGTGAAAAACACAAAGGCTTTCTGTTCTGAGTTCATTACACAAGTCATGTGGATGACTCACTGGACTCAGGTCAACAGATCCAAGTTCTCTCTGTTTCCTTACTGGTTCTGTGTAATTTTTTAAAAAACACTTTAGACCTTTCTGTAACTTCCCTCTCCACGATTTGCTTGATTTATCCATTTAGACAGGAATCTCTCAAAAACAAGATGCTAATCACATGCCATTTGGAAAAAGGAGACCTGATGAAAAGCTCTTCAGTGAAATATAACTCTCCCTTGAATAGGGCAGCTTCCATTGCTGTGTCCTGCCTGGACACAGTGAGAAGAATGGACAGTGAGAAGAATGGAGAAGAATCCTTGTCACCATGAGACTGACAAGGAGCAAGAGTGGAACAGGAAAACTGGATGTCTCCAGGAACACCTCCCAGAAGCTGGCTTGTGCCTGCTAGTTAGGCACAAATGAATAAACCAATTATGCTGTCAAATGAATACATTGATTTACCATATCCAAAAAACATAAGAGAAGTTTACAGCTACAGGCTGGGAAGGCAGAGCTGGAAGGTTGAGGGCCACCACTAAGGTGCTTACATGCCCATATTTCCAGTACAGGATCCAGAAGCCAGAAAGCCAGAACATTGAGAAGATGGCTCATGCACAGATGGCTTGAGAAGCTGCTGCTAAATAAAGGAATGGATGAACCCCACAGAGTACAATATGAGTGACTGGTTCACAAAAGACTTAGTGAGGCAGCTGCAGATATTTCTATTCGATGTTAAGTGTTTTAGAAATGTGAAGATTATTTTTGATTACCTGTTATACTGTCAGGTTCAGGAATGAGTTCAGAAGTGTCCATTATATCACATGGCTGAGTCTGATCCCCTTCTCCTTGTTTACAAAGAGTGCAGACATAGTCTTTCAGCTGAGACTCCAATTCACTTCCTGGAGACCTGTCACATTCTATGTGAATCCACCTGGGGAGATTAATTTGGAGTGACTATGATTTTAATAATAAAAAGATCAAGCATGCTAGTTAAAACAAACTTTAAAATAGCACTGTTTTCCATTCCTTAGGGGAAATAAAAAATTTCAACCAATGCCTTATGATGGAGAATTTTAGAGAAATAAGCATGACACATCATTACATCAACCAGCAAACAAATTTAAACACATAGATCTAAACTGTGACTAAAGCCAACTGGACACCACAACATGAATAGCAATATCAAGACATTGCACAGCAAGATACAACAGCACTGAATATGAAACAATCTGCATTCCTAAAAGGTTCTTAATAATGCTTTTTTTTTAAATAAAAATATTATTACTGGCATAACAAAACACACAGGATTAAACAGAGAACACATACTTGAAAATTTAAAAAAAAAAAACAACAAACCCAGACCATTACAAACAACAGTCTTTAAAAGTTAGAATGATGAGTCTCCTAGTCTGCTTACTTACTAAATAGATGCAATGGAAGAAGCAGCAGCAGCAGCACATATTTCACCTCAGGTATTACATCTCAAATAACTGCCAATTAATACTTATTTGCTAAGATTAAAATAAGACTACCTACTAGTTGCCATTGTATTTAGGGATGAACAATCAAGACGTTGCACAACAGGTCAGTGTAACATTGTACATCAAACACAATCTACACTCTCCACAGAAATACATCAATGTCATAAAGCTTTAGTAATAAGCTTGAAGTCATAAGCTTTAAAGTATTTTAGGACAACCTAATGAAAATTAGGATTCTTACCTTTTGCACATGTGACAATGCAACATATCTTTCTGGAAGTCTTGGAGGCACAGTTTTTCACAGAAAGGACAAGATAAGTTGTCTTGCTGTTGGTAACAACTGTCACATACCAAACAATTATGGTGCCACTGACAACTTGTTCGTGTGCCACACTCAGCACATACTCTACAGTTCTAGAGATCACAAGAATTTAGTTGTTAATTATGGTATTTCACAATGTGATAGAACTGCCATTAACTGACATTTTTCTGTCCTTGATAACATTAATAAATTACCCAGGATCTGATAATACAGCATGAAGAGCCTGTGCAACAGATAGAAGAGTTTCCTTGCACTACTTGAAGGGAGTATCTCTTATAACACCAAACTTTTTTTATTCCAAATTTCAGTCATCTTATGACTTCCACAAACTGACTGAATTTAAATACGTTTCATATACAGGGACTTCCTCTGTTAAGCTGAAATCCTATTTTAATTATTACTTAACACTTACAAAGTTACTGATAAAACAACCAATTCATCCTGCCTTCCTCAAATGTAAAGGAACCCTTGAGCTGCAGAACGGCTGTTCTGGTAAGCAAGAAGTAGCTGAATATAAACTGCCTTCAGTACAGATCTCACACACTACTGCACAGGTTTTAGATGACATTTTAGTACACATTAGCTCATGGGACCAGCTGCTGTTAAGTGAAGGCTATGCACTCCACCTGGAGCCTACGCTCCTTGCCTTCCCTGTGGGTGAGTTAGTGCCCTACGTAGGCTGCTTCAGCCACTGCACTGCCAGCCACCCTCACAGGGCAGCTGGAGAGACACGTCGTTATGTACCAGTGGGATTCCTCCAGAAATTGCAAGTTATGGTGATGGGATGAGGGGTAATGGGTTCAAAATGGAAGAGGGGAGATTTAGATTAGAAATTAGGAAGAAGTTCTTCCTTCTGAGGGTGGCACAACACTGGAACAGGCTGCCCAGGGAAGTTGTAGATGGTCGATCATTGGACGCATTCCAGACTAGGCTGGATGGGGCTTTGAGCAACCTGCTCTAGTGGTAGGTGTCCCTGCCCATGGCAGGGGGGTTGGAACTAGATGATCTTGAAGGTCTCTTCCAACCCAAACCATTCTATGATTATGTTACATGGCAACAGCAGTGCACAATACACCTAGAACAACATACAATGAGAGAATCATTTAAGTTAGAAAAGACCTCTAACATCATCAAGTCCAACCATCACCCAATACCACTACGACCACTAATGTGGACAACAAAATTTGGGCCTCTATAATTATTCTGGGAATTATTCTGAAACCTTTCAACTTACTTTACATTTCCAACCATTTGTTGGTACAGCATCCATAACTGGTTGTAGACAGAAAGTATGGTAGCCTTTGTCGCATGTATCGCACACCAGCATCTTGTTGTCTTCCCCAGAATGTCTAAGGAAAGTAACGTGGGGTTAAAAAGAATTATTTAAACAAACCATAACACAAAACTCTATTTAATGGAGAGTCTAAACAGGAAGACACATAGCTGAGCACATGAAAATATAGGAATACCACCTAGAAATAGCTCCCTGATAATGCTCTCAAATTCATATTTCAGTACGAATGAAGACCACTATGGCCACTTTAACAAGTGCTGAGCCTGTGAAACCATTCTGAATTCTAGAAATTGCCCCACTTTCATTTACACACATGGAGACAGATTTAATGGCCTTTCTGTACTGAAATCAGTTCAAAATCTGAAATATGTGCTTTGTTTCTTTCTGAAAAGAGCATACAATTGTACTTGTTCCTACAAACAGTCTGATTGTATTCTTTCCAAGGAAACAAAATGAGCCATCACCTCTGACTACCAGAGCTCCTACAACGTCAACCAACACGACTCCAAGAGCAAAACAAACATTAAAGGAAGAGATTTCAAATTTTCCTACAGTCATGTATTACAGAGCTCCACCACAAATTTCAGTGACAAAATAAATTTGCAGAGAATAAGACAAACAGTTTGTAAATACCTAAAGTCGCTGTGTTCTGCCTTAAATAGGTTATTAGGTACTATTTCATTACCTGGGAGACTTGATATTTTAAAAAACAGTAAATGCTTTCTCTTTGTGTGGAGATATGCTTAAAATGCTGTTCTTCAACACTGGCATAAAACTGCCATATTGCATAAAGTAATAGGTGTGAAAATATCACATTGTTTTCTGCTTTTCCATGAGAGAGGAGGTTTGTTAGCAAATACTGTCATTACCCAATACAACAGTTTTAAGGGTACTTTTTTAAATGTGCTTCACTACTATGACTTCATTGCTGGCATTTGCTATCAGCAGTATGTGATCAGGGAATAATCAATCTTCTTTAAAGTGAGGGAATGTGAATGCTAGCAAATACCAAGTGTTCTGCTTGGAAAACAGCAAAGCACTGACTGATCAGGTACATGCAGCAGTAGTGAGGTGGCTTTTTTCCTTCATGCTGTCTCAGCTCATGTGACTAAAGCTGAACAAAACTTTACTTTTCTAGTAAGCCCTTTAAAAAAAAAAAAGGCAAGCAAAAGAACCCTGCAGTGCCCATCAGATTAAGTTATATGAGAGCACGCATAAAGGCAGTCAGAGTTTTCAAGTGAACCCTCATAATATTGCAACAATCAGGATTCTTTGTCTCAGTATTTTTCTGGTGTAACAATTCAATCGTTGTTGCTCATGTCGCTTTTTTTCTTGCGTAACTAAGCCACGTTTTTGTTTTCATAATAACTCATTAACTCCCTCTGAGAGATACTACAAAATAGAAGAGAGGGCCTAATGCAAGAGACCTACCCAGTATGTGGTACCTGCACAGCTGGAACGCCAGCTGAGTAAGAGCACAGGTTTCCAGATTATAAAGACACTAAATTAAACCAATTTGTTAATTTGAGAAGAATCCTCCTGTATAAAAGGAGAAAAAAGTCAGACGGTTTTGCTGCTCTCCAGAACCTGCCAAAATAATGGTAACTCTGGGGGTATAATGCACAGGAGTTCCAGCTCAGCTCATCTGGAAGAAAGTTCCCAACACAAGGGTTTGTTCGGAGAATTTTAATGTAATGTCATAACAGATAGATCTGGGTAAATAACCTACACTTTTAGGGAAAAAGAATGGTTAAATAAAATATACGTTTTAAAATCACAGCACATGAATTTCATACCGTCCTCCTCCCCCACGCCCTTCAAGTGTCACTTACTTGCAGTTCTGGCACACTTTGCAATCGGGACACTGCCAGCCTGCTCTTTTTAAAGGTGTGACCTGTATGTCCAGGCACATCCCATGGTAGTGCTGGCCACAGGTAGTACAAAAAAGTTGATCTAAGAGGTCTCCAGGGCTGTCGCACACTGCACAATTTGCTTCTTCCTTTGCTACAAAGAAATATTTTTTTTCAATTATTATTTCATTCAAGATTATGAACAATTTGATGAACCCCACAAAGCCAAGAAATTCTTTAGTAGTTCTTATTCATACAGAACTTGATCATTCTTATGAAATTCAGATTCAATTAATATACTTAATAACTACTCTTTTAATTTAGTTTTCTGATATATATATATACTCAACTAATCTTCTCATAACAGAAGCACATTCATTTCAAACCTTAATAAACTCTTACCAAAAGAAACAGTTTTATTCCTCTGATGATAAAATTGAGAGCTTTAGGACCAACTCTTCTTTGGAACAAGGACAAAATAAAGCTCCTGGTAGATCTAAATCTATTATTTAGCTGAAGATTTTGCAATATTTTTGCTCTAACTTGAGTTAGAGCAAGCAAACCTGGTGATGTGAACTGAAACATGATGGAAGACAAGCCTTAAGAGTAAACTCTTCCCATGTTCTGTCACTATAAAAACCAAAAACAATAACCTTACTGTGCTGTGTTTTCTTTAAAAACAGAAGAGTATGAACTTGCACCTTTCTCATATCTGAACATATGTGAATTCTTGGGAACAGGAACTGGGAAAATTAGGTCTGAATAAATGCACCCTTAAAGTGATCCTACCACAGAGCAGTTTTCCTAAAACCTGGTACTAATTGTGTCATTTGAATCCTGTGTACTTACATCTTTCAGGAGCCTGATCAATATGGTCTGGACAAAGGAGGGACAAGTTACTGAAATCCTGAAACGTGCCTGCTCCAGCAGCACAGGGGTAATGGTACATCTGGGTACATTTCTCTTCACAGCATTTGATAGTGGCTCCAAGGTGCTTACAATATGCACATCGCTGAAAAACAGACGTATCAAATTGTTCAGCAACTATTTTTTCTTCTCATTTTTCAGCCAGATCTGTTCCCCAGCCTCATTTAACAGACACACAACTCGGCCAGTAAAAGGGAGTGAATACTGAGAAGGAACCTAGCAGACCGTCTTTCAGTGGCACTCCCACTTTCCAACTTAAAATGTTGAACGAAACCTACTCTAAATGCACTCTGAGGGCTGAGCTTCTTCTTGTCATAGAAAAGCATCTTCTAGATGTTATCTAACCTGAGCTATGCCTTCAGTAAAGAGGCTTGGAGACTTATTCCAAGTAATACAGGCAAGACCACACTACACTGTCAATAGGTCACAACTGAAAACCACACAGGCTCTGAAAGTTGTAGTGTAAAACCGTAGACACTGTAATCAGAAATGCAAATGGAAATGAAATATATTTCACGTTCTAGTGAACATCTTACTGACATTATACAGTTCTCTCTGGGATGATAATGCATTACATAACCTGGCACTTTCTTCTCATCTCCCTTTTCAGGGCTACACAAGTATCACCACCAAACCTCGAGAAGTCATAAATAAGCACGATTATTATTAGACATCATAGCCACATTTGTAAAGAAATAATTTCTCAGAAAGAACTACCCAATAACCCTCCAGTTCTCTAGTCAAGAGGGAAAAGATTCCATCAGTCTGCTTGTAAAATATCACCAACACCTTTCTGATTCAGTTAATCAGTCTTTTTTCTTTCCTGGATTCATTACAGTCCCTGAAGCCCTGTAACACGCTTTTGCACTTTTTCACCAAGGCAACAATACTTTTTAAGGCTACAGCACTGTAATATTTGGCGTAAACTTCAGAAAAAACAGGTCAGTGGCTCACAGGAAGGCATACATAACATTCATCAACAACTGAGCTCGGGGGGCTCTCGTTTTTCATAGTAAAAATAAAATACTAACACTGACATGTTTGATTACTAGCTCAAGTGTCAAGTAACATCCAAATATGAACATAAAACAAATCAAAGAAAAGTTACATACTGCAGCTGCTTAATTCTTAGAATAAAGACAATATTTATTACCATAATTCTTCTGTGTTTCAAAGCCTGGCATGAAATTAGGCATGAAATAGTGCTACCACAAGTCCACAGATATCAAAACTAGCCTGCATGAAAATACAAATCACAAAGCTGCCTGTGTTAAGAGCTACACTGATATTTGTAAAACCAGACTAAATTAGCATATTCAGCAAAATATCTGCCTGCACCACAACTCTTGGACAAGAGAAAAAAAAAAATATGACTTTATGCTAAACACCACTACAAGATAGAACACTTTAGGACAGAAATTAGAGCGAGTCACAAAGGACAACTACTGCCATGTTTCTGTGCTGCAATGCTTAGTCTAGTCTTCAGATCTGCAAGACATTTCATCTCTACCTGTATGTGTATCACCTACTAACAGTATGGAGAAGATGGATTCTGTTACTTTACTAGGCAAAATGCAGAGGAGAGGAGGGGGACAAGGTAAGCATCAGTAACACAGTCCCTGAAGCAGGTAAGAAGGTAGCAGCAGTGATTACATTTAAGGATGCCAACAAAACCAAAGTCATGTAAGAAACTTGGTTCAGGAAATTATACATTCAGTAAACACTCACTGAGGATGTTGTAAAAGATAAATCCTGAACTTAGATGTGACATCATGAAAACAGAACCCCAAGCCTCCAACTTCATGAGCTGCAGCTGCAGAGTTAAGAGCATACAATCCACTGCACTATTTTACACCTGGCCCTCCTACAGCCTGTTGAGATGGCCCAGGTTAGAGCTACGGCCTGACCCTTACAGGCAATACAGTGAATTTTTCAGGATAAGCAATAGTAAGAATGGGAACTTAGGAGAAGCTAAAGTCAAAAATGTGTCCCTCAAAAAAGTATTCAACAGAGACCCTGTGGGAACCCATAATTAACCCTTAAGAATTATCTAATCAGGAAAGAAAGTTATGCAAGAACCACAAACACTTGAAGAATCCAACATTTACAAAAAGCTGGGAATAAAGGATTGAAAAGCAACATAAATGGCATATTAAAACCTCACATCTGTTTTTCAAAACCACCAATCAACAACAGTACGTAACAAATGTAAAATCAGAATGTACCTTTTCCCAAATGCTGTATAACTAAATGATGAAATTATTAGAAATGAGCAAACTACAGGATTACTGCAGAGCCTTGAAAAATGTTGATGTTGATTTAAGGAACCATGTAAAATGCTGGAAGGAAAATGGAAGCCCAAATTACATTTAATTGAACCCTTCAAACCCATCTGCTAAACTGCACTGGCAATGAAAAGCATTTGGCAGATAAGTGAAACACACACTTTAAAACAATGTGGTATATATCATCTGAAGCAAATAAAAAGCACGGAATATCAACATTTGCTGAATTTATAAGAGAGATAAAGCAATCTGAAGAAACAAATGCCCAAAGGTATTTTTTTTGGCAACAGCTGTTGATGAGAAGAGTTGTCTTCCAGCAGCAGAAGCCAACACTTCTCTGAAACCAGGCCACGTGCTATGACCCCAGAAGAAAAAGTACACAACTATTACAATTAACTGACCTTCATGAATAAAGTAAGCGTGTGAACAGTGAAGTATATTAACTTATATGTTTTTTAGTTATAAACTCTGCTAAATAAACTCACTAACAAATACTACTTTACTATTTTATTGCTAAAATAAAGCATCAGGACAGTAGGAGGTGGAAGGAAGGAATTGCCCATGAGATGCAAGTCTTTATCATGCTGTGTGAGGACAGTCAGAGAGAGCACAGAGGCTTCAACTCCATCAGCACGAGCACAAAGGACGACGTTATGTGAAGAGGGGGAAGCTGAATCTGAGTAGTCAAAGGGGAGGTATAGGAAAATGGTGTCAAAGCAAGGCAAACACTGTTCTGTTCATGGATCAAGTAATTTCACAGCCCTGTTCTACAGGAAAAAACCTTTACAAGGTGTCAGAAAGCTAGAGAGACAGTTCTTATTGATAGCACATTCAATAAAATAAATGTTACTCAAGCAAGTCAGCAGAGTATGTTGCTACTCAAAAAGTCCTTTATTGGTTATCAACTGTTTTCTTCAGCAAGCTCCCAGTGTGCTCATCCACAGCAAGAAAGCTTCAATCCCCTCTGTAATTCTGCTCCTTCTCACTGCTCTGATTGCCACCATTTAAAACTGTCCATATGTCCTTCTACTTGGTCCTTTTCACCATTTTCTTTTACATTATTTTTTTCATACAGACAGAAAAAGATCTCATTTTTAAAAGCAAACAGCTATGCAGTCTTTTAAATTTCTTTTTAAAATTCCCTTTATTCACTAGTCCCATTGGATCAAATGTGACCTTGTTATACAAATATGGTAAAAGAGGAAGAACTAAGTGAATTAACAGAAAACACAAGAAGACCCAATCAGTCAACCTCCTCTCTTTTCTAGTTGTGTGGGAGTCCATTCCTCATGAAATAAAGCAGCAGAAACTGCACAGAAAATTTCTGAGAAGACAAAACCTTGCACTGCCATGCTAGAATCATAACTGCACTAAAACCAGCTGCATGAAAAGGTTAGTTCTGCCTGTGGCTTGGAAGCTCAACTGAACATCACAAAGGCTACTGGCTTTAATGGAAACAGATGGCTTAATTGTAAAATGGTGACAAGAGAAACAACTTACTGTTTAGGTCTTTCAAACTTTCCTACATCACTTAAAAAAAGGGGGGGGGGGAAGGAAAAGATAAAGACAAAAGATGTATTCAAACTTTACATCAACCTTCCTGTTCCCAGGCTTTAAAGTACTCCTCAACTTAGGGCTAGTTCAAACGTAGACAAGGTGCCTGTGTTTATGATAACGTGAGATCATATCCAGATAGTACTAAGAACAAACCAGATGTCACATTTTATCATTACTTTATTGCCTTTGGAGTTACCTTCTAGCATTACTTGACTCAGCAACTGGACAAGTAACAACCTTTAGGAGGCAGACATTAAAGAATGGCAAAAAAATGGACTTTGACTAAAGATAAATGTTAGGATTAGGTTTTGTAAAATTACAAAAGGTTTTCACTGATTATTAACTTACTTAGCTTTAAAAAGGTCAGCTGGCAAAACCTACGATAACAATAAGCAATTTTAATTTTATGATAGTGTACTCAAAAATGCACACAAGCCATCTGCCCTTAGTTAAACCACTTAATGTATTACCTGCAAGAACAAACGTCAGACACTTAGCTACTGAAAACTGCTATCATACAAATGTGTAACTAAGCAGAACTGGACCACAACATCCTGTCATTAACAAGACCGCAAAGAAATTTTAGTATAAACAGTAATTAATGAAATATTGATTACTCCATCACCTAGAAAAAGCCTTATACTGCTTACAGACACTAATCACCATTAGCACTTCCAATGTCCAATACACTCTTTTAAGTAGCATAAAGCATTTAAGAGCACAGTGCAGCAAGATGGCAACGTATAAAGAACTAATGGCTTTTGATTTAACTACTGACTTGAAAAGGTACTAAATTATACAAATTTTCAGAATTATTGTCAGTTACCTTATGTGTTTTAAAATTTTGTATTAACCTTGTCATACATTTGGAAATTAAATTTGTTACAAGCAAGACAATCAGAGATCATTTACTCTTGTTCCTCAATCCTCAACACGTATCAAGATTGAAGAAATGAAAATTCAGATTTCTCTCTTATTACTGTAATTTAAAAAAACAATGCTCTTAACAGAGACAGCAGGTATTAAAACTTCACTACTGTGCCCGCTGCATGCTCTGGGTACTCTGAAGCAAGCTTAAAAAAGAAAAGAAAAGAAAAACAAATCCACTACTGTAGAAGTGAAGTTTTGCTTCTGATAGAAGCTTTCTGATATGAAAAAACATCAACAACCATGAGAGATGTAATTTGGCCAAGGTCAAGATATGACTGAGAAAGACTGTCTCCTAATGCAGAATTCTTGACTA